ATCAATAACCACCAATGACCCAGTGCCACTGGAAGCCATGCATGCCCATGCATCACACTGCCTCCACCCATGCCATCACACTGCCTCCGCCCATGTCATCACACTGCCTCCGCCCATGTCATCACACTGCCTCCGCCCAAGCCATCACACTGACTTCGCCCATGTCATCACACTGCCTCCGCCCATGTCATTACACTGCCTCCGCCCATGCATCACACTTCCTCCGCCCATGTCATCACACTGCCTCCGCCCATGTCATCACACTGCCTCCGCCCAAGCCATCACACTGACTTCGCCCATGTCATCACACTGCCTCCGCCCATGTCATCACACTGCCTCCGCCCATGCATCACACTGCCTCCGCCCATGCCATCACACTGCCTCCGCTCATGTCATCACACTGCCTCCGCCCATGCCATCACACTGCCTCCACCCATGTCATCACACTGCCTCCGCCCTTGTCATCACACTGCCTCCGCCCATGCCATCACACTGCCTCCGCCCATGCCATCACACTGCCTCCGCCCATGCCATCACACTGCCTCCGCTCATGTCATCACACTGCCTCCGCCCATGCCATCACACTGCCTCCGCCCATGCCATCACACTGCCTCCGCTCATGTCATCACACTGCCTCCGCCCATGCCATCACACTGCCTCCGCCCATGCCTTCACCCCACCTCCACCCATGCCATCACACTGCCTCCACCTTGTTTTTCAGATGACGTTGTTTGCTTTGGATCATGAGCTGTTCCAAGCCTTCTCCACACTTTTTTCTTCCTGTCATTCTGGTACAGATTCATCCTAATTTCATCCGTCCAAAGAATGCTTTTCCAGAACTGGTCCAGGTTGTTTAGATGTTTTTGCCAAAGTCTAATCTGGCTTTTCTATTCGTCAGGCTTATGAATGATTTGCACCTTGTGGTGAACCCTCTGTATTTGCTCTCGTGAAGTCTAATCTTGATTGGAGAGTGTCCTTCACTTGTCTGGATGTTGTGAATGGGTTTTTCTTTACCATAGAGAGGATCCTGCAATCATCCACCACTGTTGTCTTCCATGGACGTCCATGCCTTGTCATGTTGCTGAGCTCACCAGTGCGTTCTTCTTTCCTCAGAATGTACTAAACTTGATTTGGCCGCTCCTAATGTTGCTGTGATCTCTCTGATGGATTGGTTTAGTTTTTGAAGCCTTACAATGGCCTGTTTCACTTGCATGGACAGCTCCTTTGAATGCATGATGGAGGTTCACAGCAATAGGTTCCAAATACAAATCCCTCACTTAGAATCAACTCCAGACCTTTCACCTGCTTAATTGATGAAGAAGTAACGAAGGAGTAGCCCACACCTGGCCATGAAAAAGCTTTTGATTCAATTGTCCAATTACTTTTGCTCCCTTGAAAAAGGAAGGGTGGCTACTCTTAAGAGCTGTAATTCCTAAACCCTTTCTCCAATTTGGATGTACATACCCTCAAATTAAACCTGAGAGTGCGCACTGTCCACCCATATCCATAATAGAACTATAGCCTGAATGTTTTGGTAAATACCTGAAAAAAAACTAATACATATGGACCTAACTGTGTGTGTATATATATATATATATATTTTTTTTTTTCCCTAAGTAATTTTTCAGCAAAAAAATCCTGATTTTTACATGTAGGAAAGGAGTATCAGAATAGACCTGGCCTGGTCAAGCGGTTAAAGACATTAAAGTGCAGCTCCAGCCAAACCTTTATTTTATGGTACTTCCAGTAGAATCTATAAGATAACACTTCCGTCAAATCTTTTTTTTTTTTTGCTGTTTATGTCCATAGTAATAATGAGTATTCCCTTTACTTCCTGTCTCAGTGACAACAAGGCAAGAGATGACAGGAAGATGCAGAGAGCAACAATGCCTGACAAAGATTCTGCTTGATATCATTATGGTATGGTTGATGTCCTTGTCCCTCACCACTTCCCACTCATGTGACACCCTAGAACAATTGTTCTAGTGAGAAACACTTTTTGCCCACCGATTCTACAGTTTGATGTTCTTCATGGTCCAAATCCTTTGTTTAAATCTCTTCCCATGTAATAAAAGGATTTTAATCCATACAGTCATTGGTTTAATACAAACAGCCCTGATGAATGGTGTAATGTTCCTAAACAGGTTGAAGGTCCACCTCTACCATAAACACGTCAGTGATTGAAAGCCATCTGCTGGCTTTTTACTTTTGGGGTTTTAAGATGAGCTCAAAAAAAGCCAACAGAGGTTCCATCCCCATCACCTGTTCCATCCCCATCAGCTGTCCCATCCCCATCAGCTGTTCTATCCCCATCAGCTGTTCCATCCCCATCAGCTGTTCCATCCCCATCCGCTGTTCCATCCCCATCCGCTGTTCCATCCCCATCACCTATTCCATCCCCATCACCTGTTTGTGCAAAACTAAATAAAACAGTTTGTTTGGATTTCAGCTTTAATGATCCAGAGCGCAGCCCCATGTCCTCCAAGAGTATGGATTTCTCCAGTAAAGAGCCCCTTTGTCTAACCCCAGCCTTTCTCAACCTTTCAACAGGGAGGAACCCTTAAAGTAACTTTCTGGTCTCAGGGACCCCCTGCTAATGATGACCATATCTACAACTCATGAGACATTAGTGGATGGGAAGAATGCTCTCTACACCTGTGGCCATTGGGATGAATTACCCCCTTACAGATAACTAAAAAGATCATTGGTGTCAGTAGGAACTTATGTAAGGGCAGAAGTTGCTCATTGCTCAAAGGACCCTTAGAAAACTTTGGAGGAGGAATCCTGGTTGAGAAACCTTGGTCTAATGCAAGCCATAGATGGGGAGAAAAAAAGAAAAATCGGTCTTTCAATCGGCCAACGTTACCAGGAAAAAAATCGGCCGATTTTCATCCCGTCTACAGCCGGCAAAAAGTATCTCTGCAGAGAGCTCCGCTATTTCTTTGACAGTTCTTTGACATTTATAGCGGCTGCAACATTGTATCTATTTGTATCCATTTCAGATACAGATGTTTATATTCTGAAACAAATAGATACAATGTTGCAGCTGCTATAAATGTCAAAGAACTGTCAAAGAAATAGCGGAGCTCTCTGCAGAGACACTTCCGGACTGGAACTCTTCTTCTTCATCCTCTTCTTCTTCATCCTCTACTTCTTCTTCCTCTTCTTCTTCTTCATCCTCTTCTTCTTCTTCTATTTCATCCTCTTCCTCTTCTTCATCCTCTTCTTCTTCATCGTCTTCTTCTTCATCTTCATCCTCTTCATCTTCTTCTTCTTCATCCTCTTCTTCATCTTCTTCATCCTCTTCTTCATCCTCTTCTTCTTCATCCCTCTTCTTCTTCTTCATCCTCTTCTTCTTCTTCATCCTTGTCTTCTTCCTCTTCTTTTTGTCTTCCTCTTGCAGGTCACGGCTCATGCGCAGATTTTTTATCGGTAAAAAGATCAGCCGATTTGCCCATCATTGCTGCGAAAATCGGCCGATTGGCAAAACTTTACCGATAAAAAAATCTGCCAAAATACCGAAAAACGGCCGACCTATTAACCCACTAACGATCCGAAATTCGGTCGATTTTATTTTCAGCCGAAAAAAAATCGGCCAATTTTCGACCCATCTATGGCCTGCATAACCCATCATTTCCTGTAGTGGAGGAGAGGTCATGAGATATCTAGCTCTATGAACTGTCTGCGGTGTCAAAGTGCTCTCCTAACTGGTGATGGTGGTGACACCATGTTTGGTTTTGCAGGATTGGCTCCAGCATTTGGCATTGATCTTCGTGCTGTTTTTAACGCTGCATTTTAGAAACAGATCAAGGCCGAGTGCATACTCACCGGCCGAGGTCCTGGGGCGTCTGGATGAATTCAGGGACCGCAGTTTTACAGTTGGCTACATCCCTACAACCCCGGCCATCAGGGACATAATGCAGAGGGGTCAACAGAAGCACCATCATCCCAGGTAAGATCAGCTGGAAGCCAAGCATGGTGCTCCTCTCCAGTGAATGAGGAGTGTATGGGGGTCACCAGAGGGCCTGACTGCTTTGTTAAATGTTTTAGGGTACCCCGAGAATTACCCCCCCCACTAATAAATGAATGGAAATAAACAAAAGTCCTGATTTCTCCTTCCAGGAATATCGGTTCAGGAATTTCAAAATGCTTCTGACCTTCTGGATGCAGTTGATTGGAAAATGCCCGCTGTGTGGAATTTGTGAATGAGTTTACATATTATATCAGATATTATCTGCACACCATCTACAGCCCCAATGACTACCTGGCTTATAGAAGTAAGAGGGCATGTGATGGTCAGTGGGACGAATAGTCCTTACATTGGAGGTCAGTGAGAAGAATGTCCCTTACATTGGTGGTCAGTGGGAAGAATGTCCCTTACATTGGTGATCAGTGGGAAGAATGTCCCTTACATTGGTGGTCAGTGGGAAGAATGTCCCTTACATTGGGTCAGTGGGAAGAATGTCCCTTACATGGGAGGTCAATGGGAAGGAATGTCCCTTACATGGGAGGTCAATGGGAAGAATGTCCCTTACATTGGGTGGTCAGTGTGAAGAATGTCCCTCACATTCGGAGGTCAGTGGGAAGAATGTCCCTTACATTGGGGGTCAGTGGGAAGAATATCTCCTTACATTGTTGGATCAGTGGGAAGAATGTCCCTTACATTGGTGGTCAGTGGGAAGAATGGTCCCCTTACATTGGTGATCAGTGGGAAGAATGTCCCATACATTGCTCAATCGGGTCAGTGGGAAGAATGTCCCTTACATTGGTAGTCAGTGGAAGAACGTCCCTTACATTGGGGGTCAGTGGGAAGAAATGTCCCTTACATTGGTGATCAGTGAGGAAGAATGTCCCTTACATTGGTGATCAGTGGGAAGAAAGTCCCTTACATTGGGGGTCAGTGGAAGAATGTCCCTTACATTGTGATCAGTTGGGAAGAATGTCCCTTACATTGGTGGTCAGTGGGAAGAATGTCCCTTACATTGGGGGTCAGTGGAAGAATGTCCCTTACATTGGGGGTCAGTGGGAAGAATGTCCCTTACATTGGTGGTCATGGGAAGAATGTCCCTTACATTGGAGGTCAGTGGGAAGAATGTCCCTTACATTGGGGATCAGTGGGAAGAATGTCCCTTACATTGGGGGTCAGTGGGGGAAGAATGTCCCTTACATTGGGGGTCAGTGGGAAGAATGTCCCTTACATTGGTGATCAGTGTGGGAGAATGTCCCTTACATTGGTGATCAGTGAGAAGAATGTCCCTTACATTGGTGGTCAGTGGGGAAGAATGTCCCTTACATTGGGGGTCAGTGGGAAGAATGTCCCTTACATTGGGGGTCAGTGGGAAGAATGTCCCTTACATTGGGGGTCAGTGGGAAGAATGTTCCTTACATTGGGGGGGTCAGTGGGAAGAATGTCCCCTTACATTGGGGGTCAGTGGGAAGAATGTCCCTTACATTGGAGGTCAGGGGGAAGAATGGCCCTTACATTGGTGATCAGTGAGAAGAATGTCCCTTACATTGGGGTCAGTGGGAAGAATGTCCCTTACATTGGGGGTCAGTGGGAAGAATGTCCCTTACATTGGGGTCAGTGTGAAGAATGTACCTTACATTGGGGGTCAGTGGGAAGAATGTCCCTTACATTGGTTATCAGTGGGAAGAATGTCCCTTACATTGGTGATCAGTGGGAAGAATGTCCCTTACATTGGGGGGTAAGTGGGAAGAATGTCCCTTACATTGGTGGTCAGTGGGAAGAAATGTCCCTTACATTGGTGGTCAGTCAGGGAAGAATGTCCCTTACATTGGGGGTCAGTGGGAAGAATGTCCCTTACATTGGGTGATCAGTGGGAAGAATGTCCCTTACATTGGGGGTCAGTGAGAAGAATGTCCCTTACATTGGGGATCAGTGAGAAGAATGTCCCTTACATTGGGGTCAGTGGGAGAATGTCCCTTACATTGGAGGGTCAGTGGAAGAATGTTCCTTACAATGGGGGTCACGTGGGAAGAATGTCCCTTACATTGGTGATCAGTGGGAAGAATGTCCCTTACATTGGGGGTCAGTGGGAAGAATGTCCCTTACATTGGGGGTCAGTGGGAAGAATGTCCCTTACATTGGGGGTCAGTGGAAAAGAATGTCCCTTACATTGGGGGTCAGTGGGAAGAATGTCCTTTACATTGGGGGTCAGTGGAAGAATGTTCCTTACACAATGGGGGTCAGTGGGAAGAATGTCCCTTACATTGGTGGTCAGTGGGAAGAATGTCCCTTACATTGGGGGTCAGTGGGAAGAATGTCCCTTAAATTGGTGATCAGTGGGAAGAAATGTCCCTTACATTGGTGGTCAATAGGAAGAATGTCCCTTACATTGGGGGTCAGTGGGAAGAATGTCCCTTACATTGGGGGTCAGTGGGAAGAATGTCCCTTACATTGGTGGTCAGTGGGAAGAATGTCCCTTACATTGGGGGTCAGCGGGAAGAATGTCCCTTACATTGGTGATCAGTGGGAAGAATGTCCCTTACATTGGGGGTCAGTGGGAAGAATGTCCCTTACATTGGGGGTCAGTGGAAGAATTGTCCCTTACATTGGTGATCAGTGGGAAGAATGTCCCTTACATTGGGGGTCAGTGGGAAGAATGTCCCTTACATTGGTGATCAGTGGGAAGAATGGTCCCTTAATTGGGGGTCAGTGGGGAAGAATGTCCCTTACATTGGGGGTCAGTGGGAAGAATGTCCCTTAACATTGGGGGTCAGTGAGAGAGGGCACTGCCCTTGCAGACATCTTAAATGTTTCATTTAAGATTGCTGTAGGAAAGTCCTGGATCCTTTCTTGGATACACAGAATATAACTGGGTATAACATTTATAGGGAAAGTTCATCCAGGGATATCCGATTGCCTCTCGGGGGGTCAGGAAGGAATTTTTCCTCTGCAGGAGCAGATTGGGTCGTTGCTTTGCTGGTTTTTTTTGCCTTCCTCTGGATCAACTGTGGGTGTCGGATTATAACTTTTTTTTTATTTTTATGGTTTAACTGGATGGACTTTTGTCCTTTTTTCAGACTAACTATGTAATTAGGTAACTATGTTTCTTTGCCATCAACATAGTTGCATAAAAAAGCACTGCTGGTTATAATATTTAACTATTTTTGTTGTTGCTCCCCCTGTGTGTTCCTCCAGGTTGTAAAAGTTCAAGATATGACTGCGACCACCTCCCTGCGTACCTGGAGATGCAGCCAATCTCATTTGCAGAGCTATTCGTCTGTGTACATTCAACCTGGAGAGGAAATAGCCTGATAACATTTGATTTTTCCCCCATTCACACAGAATAAATGTACTATTCACAGGGTGAATAGCACAGCAAATTGTTTTAAATAAATACACTTCTGCGTCTCCAGATATTTGTCACCAGGAGAAAAATTGAAGGGAAATTTGTCCAATGAGAATAATTGTTCTAGTGACAAATGTGTAAAACAGGGGTCTCCAAACTGCAGCCCTTTGCTTGCTTTTATCCAGCCCTTGGGCCATAATTCCAATGGAGCACTTACCCCCCACATAGACACCAATGGGGCACTATTCCCCCTAATGACACCAATGATGGGGCACTATTCCTCCCCTAATGACACCAATGATGATGGGGCACTATTCCTCCCACTGACACCAATGATGGGGCACTATTCCTCCCACTGATACCACTGGCACCTATTCCTCCCACTGATACCAATGGGGCACTATTCCTCCCACTGACACCAATGATGGGGCACTATTCCTCCCACTGATACCAATGATGGGACGCTATTCCTCCCACTATGATGGGACGCTATTCCTCCCACTGACACCAATGATGGGGCACTATTCCTCCCTACTGACACCAATGATGGGGCGCTATTCCTCCCACTGACACCAATGATGGGACTATTCCTCCCACTGACACCAATGATGGGGACTATTCCTCCCACTGACACCAATATTCCTCCCACTGACACCAATGATGGGCACTATTCCTCCCACTGATACCAATGAATGGGGCACTATTCCTCCCACTGACACCAATGATGGGACGCTATTCCTCCCACTGACACCAATAATGGGGCGCTATTCCTCCCACTGACACCAATGATGGGGCGCTATTCCTCCCACTGACACCAATGATGGGGCGCTATTCCTCCCACTGACACCAATGATGGGGCGCTATTCCTCCCACTGACACCAATGATGGGGCGCTATTGCTCCCACTGACACCAATGATGGGGCGCTATTGCTCCCACTGACACCAATGATGGGGCGCTATTCCTCCCACTGACACCAATGATGGGGCACTATTCCTCCCACTGACACCAATGATGGGGCACTATTCCTCCCACTGAAACCAATGATGGAGCATTATTCCTCCCACTGACACCAATGATGGGGCACTAATCCTCCACTGACACTAATGATGGAGCACTATTCCTCCCACTGACACCAATGATGGGGCACTATTCCTCCACTGATACCAATGATGGGACACTATTTCTCCCACTGATACCAATGATGGGGCACTATTCCTCCCACTGACACCAATGATGGGGCACTATTCCTCCCACTGATACCAGTGATGGGACACTATTCCTCCCAATGATACCAATGATGGGGCACTATTCCTCCCACTGACACCAATGATGGGGCACTATTCCTCCCACTGACACGATGATGGGGCACTATTCCTCCCACTGATACCAATGATGGGGCACTATTCCTCCCACTGACACCAATGATTCCTCCCACTGACACGATGATGGGGCACTCTCCCATGACCAATGGTGGGGCACTATTCCTTCCCACTGACACAATGATGGGGCACTGATTCCTGCCACTGACACGATGATGGGGGCACAATGATGGGACATTTCTCCCACTGACACCAAATGGTGGGGCACTATTCCTGCCACTGACACCAATGATGGGGCACTATTCTTCCCACTGACACCAATGATGGGACACTATTCCTCCTACTGACACCAAAGATGGGGCACTTATCCTCCCACTGACACCAATTATGGGGCACCATGCTTCCCACTGACACCAAAGAGGAGACATTGTTTACTGACACTAATACATATTCTACTCTCATTGGTCTAAAAGATTGGATGTTCCTTTTTTCAGGAAGTTTTCCACTTTCCAAAATAGATGATACAAGATTGATATTTTATGTTTCTCTTACTCCCTTTACTACCTTTCTTTAAACTCTAACAGAAAAACAATATAATAAAAACATAACAATTCTCCAACTTAAAAAAAAAAAATGTATAAAAAACAATATTTTTCAGAGGAACACCAAGCAGTTGCTATGGGATGATATGGCGGCCACAGAGGTGGTGAAGATGAGAGCGTTGAAGTACACAGATAGGACGATCCTGGACATGGGCATCTACATCTATGCATTGAGCATGTGCTTCGTCTCGTTGTCCTATCTCATGACGCTGCAGATCACCCGGGAGAGGAGGAAAACCAGAGAGCTGATGAGGATGATGGGGCTGAAGGATCTGGCGTTTTGGTGAGTGACGTTGGTCAACCCAAAATGAATAGCTTCTTGGCAGGGATCCTTGACATGAGATAAAGAGCTCAGGGAGGGTGCCAACAGCGCAGGAGATGGGGAAGTGACACAGTGGTGGCCACAGGGGGGGTCACAAGCATGCCTGCTTTTCTGTTGACAGGTAAAATGGTCCTCATTGGTTGGAATTTTCCAGTCTTAGACGATCTCCAGTATGGTGTCACCATCTTCTATTTCAGGTTGTCTTGGGTATTGCTGTACACCATCAGTGCCATCATCATCGCCACCCTCATGGCTTTGGTCGCCACCACTTATGCATATGTGGAAAGTTCCTTTGGCGTTATTTTTCTGCTCTTCTGCCTCTACGGCGTAGCAACGGTAGGTCTGGATGATGTGTTTTGGCAAATGAACTGCACGGGATTCCTTCATCCACATTCAAGAAGGTGCAAACCCAATCAATAACATATTAATATCTTTTCAAAAGTAATTTTCAAAATCCTGCCAAGAAGACCCTTATTCAGGCAATTCCGGCTATGGGGTGACAACACCCTGTCTCAGTCTCCCAATTGTCTTCCTATGTTGTCACAAGGGATTCCAATGGCCACTTCAACACACATTATACTGGCATGGTCTAGTGTTTTCAGCACACTGAGAAATGTCATGCCGTCATCCCTGGAGTGAACAGGAAGTGATTGAGGTCTCCAGGGCTGGGATGGAACAAAGTATGACAACGGGGTTTGAGAAATGACAGTTGCTTATGATACACAGTACACAGAGAAAATTCCAGCTCATCCAGTTTACATCACAAGGGTTTCACAAGAGATCCTCACCATTTGTGGGGCTTTATAGAAAGGAGGCTTATGGAGGTAGTGTTCCTCTTCAGCTCCTTTCTGTGAACTGAATCCAACCTCATAGATTAATCTTTTACCCCTTCCCCCCCCCCAGGTCTGCTTTAACTGCATGCTGAGCGCCCTCCTCAGGAAGCTCCGCCTGGCAGCGATTCTGGGATTTTTCAGCACTCTCTTCCTTGCTGCGCTGGGCCTCCTACCGCTGGTGAACGCCATGCCCAGATCTCTGGAGGTCTTTCTGAGCATTTTCCACCCCTTCTCCTTCGCCGTCGGGATGGTGGAGGTAATCATTTATTATTAGGAGCTGTTTTTGAAGCTTGCACAGGGAGGAGGACTATTGCCCCACCCCCTACAGGTGCCAATCACCAAACACCAATGCAGTCATGTGACAGGAAGAGGATGTAAGTGATATGCTCATGTACACCTGGACACAGTGCTGGGACAAGGTCACCTAAAGCCCAAGGCAAAAATACCAAACTGCACCCCCCCCCTCCCCCCAAGATATATGGGCATTATGTGTCAGCAAAAACTTCCAACTCCCAAAAAATCAAGCACTAATTTGCATGCTTAACCCTTGGTATAAATTCTCCCAGTACAAATCCGCCTCCCTGCTGAAATACCCCTTCCAACACAAATTTATGCCTCCCCATCCCCCCTCCAAGCTTAAATCCTCTCTTTCCCCAAATCTCCCCAAGTACAAATACCCCCTCCCCAACAAACAAAATCCCCCACCCCCAGTACAAATCCTCTACCACTCAAATTTCCCCTCCGGGCAGAGATCCCATGTCTCCTGATCCAAGTCATCCCCCCTCCCTGCACAAATCTCCCACCCCAAATTCTCCCTCCTAGCACAAATCCTCTCCTCTCACCAATTTCTCCTCTAGCACAAATACCCCCCCAAAAAAATGTTCTCATTCTAGCACAAATCCCTTTCCTCCTCTACCATATCACCTCATCTAGCAAAAAAAACCCAAAATTTCTCCCTCTAGAATAATTTTATCCTCTATTGCCACCAAATTTCCCCTTCCAACACAAATCTCCCCCCAATCTCCTCACAGCGCCCCCTCCCAACCTCACATGATACCAAAGTGCCCAGGGCAGCCGCCCCTCCTGCCCACCCCTTGTCCCGACCCTGCTTGGATGTACTGATCTTCAGCTGAATGGAACCATGGAGGAGTGAAGGAATGGTTCTTGGGGGGCGGGCATTAATGCGATCCTGTTGTCCTGCACTGCATGGAAAAGGCATCAGTTTGGTTTA